CTCCTGCCTCTCCGCGGCCTCCCCAGCTGCCAGACTTCCTCAGGTCAGCCTCTCCAGGCCCAGCTCCTCCTGCCTGCCACTGGCCCATTGAGTCCCAGCCCCGCTCACGCCTCTGGGCATCCTCCTCAGGCCCAGGACTGGACCTCCAGTCGGCCTCGCCAGGCCTAGCCGCCTGCCTTCCGACGGCCTGGACAGGCCCAGCCTCTGCCTCCCAGCGGACTCTCCACGCCCAGCTCTCGCCTGACTGCGGCCTCCCCAGGCCAACTCATCGCCCAGTCGGTCTCCGCCGGCCCAGCTCCTGCCTCTCCGCGGCCTACCCAGCTGCCAGACTTCCTCAGGTCAGCCTCTCCAGGCCCAGCTCCTCCTGCCTGCCACTGGCCTCTTGAGGCCCAGCCCCGCTAACGCCTCTGGGCGGCCTCCTCATGCCCAGGACTTGACCTCCATTGGGGCTCGCCAGGCCCAGCCTCCTGCCTCCCGAAGGCCTGCACAGGCCCAGCCTCTGCCTCCCAGCGGACTCTCCACGCCCAGCTCTCGCCTGACTGCGGCCTCCCCGGGCCAGAGCTCCTCCTGCCTTTCGGCAGCTCCGCCGGGCCCCGCTCCTGCCTCCCAGTGGCCTCGTTAGGCCCGGCTCATTCGTCACGGGGAACGGCCTTTCCAGGCCCAGCCTGTGCCTTTCGGCGGCCTCTCCAGGCCCCGAGCTTCCTCAGGCCGGCCCCTCCAGGCCCAGTTGCGGCCTCCCGGCCTCCCGTCCAGGCCCTGTCTCTTATACACATCTAGATGTGTATAAGAGACAGTCAGGTCAGCCTCTCCAGGCCCAGCTCCTCCTGCCTGCCACTGGCCTCTTGAGGCCCAGCCCCGCTCACGCCTCTGGGCGGCCTCCTCATGCCCACTACTTGACCTCCAGTCGGCCTCGCCAGGCCCAGCCTCTTGCCTAACGAAGGCCTGCACAGGCCCAGCCTCTGCCTCCCAGCGCACTCTCCACGCCCAGCTCTCGCCTGACTGCGGACTCCACAGGCCAGAGCTCCTCCTGCCTTTCGGCAGCTCCGCCGGGCCCCGCTCCTGCCTCCAGTGGCCTGGTTAGGCCCGGCTCATTCGTCACGGGGAACGTCCTTTCCAGGCCCAGCCTGTGCCTTTCGGCGACATTTCCAGGCCCCGAACTTCCTCAGGCCGGCCCCTCCAGGCCCAGTTGCGGCCTCCCGGCCTCCCGTGCAGGCCCAGTTCCTCCTGCTCCCAGCTGCGTTCGCCGGACCAGCCCCAGCCTCACGACAACATCTTTGGACTCGGAACCGGGACAGCTCCCACACCGCCGCCTCTGTAGGCCCCAAACGTCCTGAAGCCCGGCCCCACAGTGGCCTCTCCAGGCCCGGCTCCTGCGCTCTGACGGCGTCTCCACGCCCCAGACTTCCTCCAGCCAGCCTCTCCAGGCCCAGCTCCTCCTGCCGGCG